AGCTTAATCGTTAAAAATAAGGGACTTTACTTTAAAAAGTATTTGTATTTCATGTATTATATTACTGTATTTGGCCCGCTGCCCTGGATAGATTTTCATTTTGACCCACTCAGGGAAAATGTTTGGGCACCCCTGGTCTATAGTGTTTTGTGTAAAAGATTCAATTAAAAGCTTTAGTTTTAATTTAAATGAGATGAACAGAAGTCGTAGTGAACACACTGCACACTTTGGATTAGAGAGATTGTTTATTGCTTCAGTGACATTTTGATGTATAGTCTGTATGAGAACTGTAAACTATAAAAAGCAGAGTTTAAACAGAAGCATCCTCTCACACTGGAGTTGAACATTTTGTGGTTAAAATTTCTTATCATCATGTGTAAAAAAACATGAATGATATCTGTAGAGTCAATAAAAGTACAACTTTCTATGACCCGTTTAAACCTTGAATAATGTTTATACTGTGAAGTGTGGCTGAGCTCCAAAGTGGACTACCTTTTCGCTTATTTTGCCAAAATCTCATTTTCTACATGGAAATGTTTGTTTTGTACTGTTCCTGATCAARCTGTATGGTTAGATGTTTGTTTTTAACAAAACTGCAAAAATAATAAATCCAACATTCAGAAACTGAGGAATGAAAAAACAAAATACTGTATACTGGTACCCAACTAAGAGCTCAATCCATAGCACTTGATACAAAGTAAGTCCATCATTTTAGATTAAATTGACTAAATATCAAACTATAAAAAGACCAGAATGCTCCAAAGCCCAGTTTCCATGATTCTGGTTTTGAGTGAAACCAGAGCTTTTCTGCTGCAGTCTGACAGTTTGTGTACACGCTCCACTCGCACCATAGTTTTTCTGTGCTTGTGCGAGCAGCTGAGCATCAACTGATGACAAAGTTCTGCTTGTCCTGCTCACCCTTTCCAACATGAAGAAACAAAACCTCATCTTCGGTCCAAATATATCTTTTTAGACCTCCTTCCCTTTTGTGTGCATTTGCCAATCTTAAAATCTTATTTTATCGTCAGAGAAAGAGCCCCTTTTCATTCAGAACATTTCAGAGTTTGGGTCAAAATCTAAAGCGATGGAAAGATAGTTTGTCATTTCCTATCTAGTGACCCTGCCTGGCATAAAAATTGCTACAGATTCTTGTTGATTTGTCACAAATATAAAAAAAACTTACCCAATCCAGAGATCAGTGTTGTGTAAGCAGGGCCTATGTGTATTAACTTTTTATAGTAGTTAGTGGTCTAATGATGGAGGGAAACATCTGCAGAGACATGCAGCAGCTGCAGGTTCTACAGAACAAGTTTCTAAACATATTACAGCTCATTTTAMCAAGAATGGTAACAAGAACCTTCCTGGTGGGACTTGAGAAGCAGCATTTTCTTTGTCCAATATTAATGAAGTTGGGGGCTTGTGGTGATTGACAGTAAGTCTGTTCCAGTCTAAATCAACACGTGTCTGTCTGCAGGTGTTGCAGATGGAGTAGGTGGTTGGAGGGACTACGGTGTGGATCCGTCCCAGTTCTCCGCTACGCTGATGAAGACGTGTGAGAGGTTGGTGAAGGAAGGCCGCTTCGTCCCCAGCAGCCCTGTGGGCGTCCTGACAGCCAGCTACTACGAGCTACTGCAGAACAAAGTGCCACTACTGGGTGAGCGAGCCAGTCCTCGTGTTCGCTGGTAGGATGAGTAACGGACTAATCTAAAAGTGTTCGATCGATCTGATCGGTTCGCTAACGATAAGCTGACATTTTCTTAATAAYCTGAGTGATTTTGTTTCAAAAGGGTCTTTCCATGAAGAAATAGTTTTTATAATA